CTGCCCAAAAATACTCTTCTGCCTGTTGTGTTCTGAAGCTCCTTATTTGTACCTGCAAAGCAGTAATCTGCACAGAGTAGTGAAATGTCCAGTTGCTGTTTGTGTGGGGCACCCCAGTTTGTCTGTGGGCAGAAATGCTCTCTCTGTAGGTGGAAACGTGTTTTTTCAAGTACATGTTATTTTGTTTCTCCTCTTCCTCCTCCCCCAAGAGTGACATCTACCTCTGCATTTTTCCCCTTACTGTAGGATGTGTGGGACCATACTTCTTTTACAGTTCTCTTGTGTGTTGGTTTACCAAATCAGCAGCTTGTACAAACTGGCATAATTTCACTGAAACTGATAGAAGTAAGTTGACTCTAAAACCAGTAGAGAATCTGAATTCATTAGGTAGTAGTCCATGATCCATATGAACTTCTGGAACAATCTCCTGCAATTGTTTTGGGGATGTACACAGATATTTCTGGAGAGTCTACAAAGATTTCTTTTAAGATTTGCTGTAGGCCACAGCTGGGTGCTGTCTATAAACTAATGTCTTTTTCTTTTTTTTTTCTCTCCTGCTGTCTCCTACAGTTATATCCTGAATATCTCTCAAAGTTCCTTTAGTTTTGCTATCCTTCTAGCAGTTTGTGGCCTTCCTAAAGCGTGTTCACTGTCCCAGTCTGTGGGAAAGCCTAATTTCATCATGTCTGTCAGTCTGGTAGCCAGCAGCATATTAATACCGAGTGAACTGGATGGCATTTAAATGAAAATCTATTGTCATGAACTCCAGGCTTACCATGGCTCATTATTTTCAGGCAAGCACAGTAATTAGCACGGGGTGTACTCTATGATAATTAGGAATGTTTTACACATCAGATGGTGATGTTGACTTTTGAGGGCAACCACCTGGACTCAACTCTCACTAGCTAAAACAAATATTTTTATATTCCTTTTCGTTTCAGTGTTTCAAAATGCCTGTGGTAAAATACTTTAACTGTTTAATCACTAAATAATAGATCCATGCAATCAATTAGCTAAATAGTATGATTAGTGGGACAAGTTGCTGGTACCCAGAGGTGACACCATAGCTGAGATATACAGTTAATGTGTATTGTAATTTCTCTTGAATGCAAGGTGAAACTTCCACTATCTTGAAAGCCAGGCACATGTTGCTTTCCAGCTCTCTCTCCTCTTTACCTGACCTGATAAACACCTTAAACACTGGTATCATAGATTTGTGGTATCTGCTCCATTTTTGACATTTTTTCATCCTAAAGAGGTAGTATGACATTCCTAGTGGAGAAAATAATGATGATTAAAAAAACACTCACAAAAAAACCCAAACAAACAATCAAACAAAACACAACCCAGAAATTTATATAATCGGGTCTCATTATAATCTTTGTGAACTTGTTAGATTAAAGCAGATTTGTTAAAACAGCAAGAATTCTAGGGCTATCTTGGAAGCAGCTGTATTTCATGAAGTAAAATCAGGAAAGATAAGAATATATTCTGTGGACTTATATTCTGTCTGCAGATCTTGAGGGCTTATTTCTGATTTACGTGAAATATAGGCAGTTTCTGTTCTAACTCATGGCTTGTGTGGATTAGTTTCTGTACCTGAAGCTTTCCCTAAATTTCTTGTTTAGTTCATATTCAAACCTTGGAGGAGGAGGGTATTTTCATTTCCAGTGGCAGTGTGAAGGCAGTCTCATAAGAAGCTGGGCATTTGTCAGTTTTCATAAGAATTGTATTTGAAAGCTGTGAAATTTTAAGGTTTACCCTGTTTCCTCCCCAGATCAATAACTGCTAAACTCAAACATAAACCTTCCATTATGTGTATTTGTCCGACATATTTGTATTTGCTGGTTGTTGTGAATTGAAGGCTCTACCACAGCCATGGAAATACTGAGCTTGTAAATACCCTTTAGGTGCAGACAACAGGAAAAGTTACCCATTGTGATTCTGCTGCCTCCTTTTCAGTTTGTACTCCAAAAATAATGTGAGGGAAATGCAGGACAGTTCAACTTTTTAAACATTAAATCATGATAGACTTCTGTTTGTATTCTTAGTTCAACCCTGCTTCTATGTGTTACCATGTAATTTCTGACACTAATTTTCAAAACATTCATGGTTGGGGGAGGGGGAGGAGGAGCTATATTTTGAAAAAAAAAAAAATCTCTTAAATTAAATAAATTGCAAGTGTTGCATTTCAAGGGGATGAAATAATTTATTTTAAACTAGGAAAGAACTTGTGGACACTGTATCTATGGAATAATGTCAGATAAATTTAAATGTGTTAAATGTGGTGCCATTACAAGTGTTTTTTTTTGGCTGAAAAGGACCAGTGATTTCTTGTAAAATAAAGAGATATTAGATTATTTCAGCTAGCCCTGGCTGGGCCCTTTGGAATGTGGTTTAAGTTTCTGGCTTTTACTCTTAGGAGGATGTACAGGTAGGAAAAAAAAGTCAAGTTCAAACAAAATTATACAAACCTAAATAAAAGAGAAGACAAGATGTAAAAATTATTCTGTAATGGGTGTGACCATGCAGCTGCTTGGAAAAATAATTGGTTACCACTGTAACTCTGGCAAGGAACAAAGATATACATTAATAGGAAAAAAAAGATAGTTAGCAAAAAAACCCCATGTATTTACATGTGGTTAAAGTCAGAATTGTCTAGATACTGCTTCTGTTTCAACTATAAATGACTTCTATATTTGACTCTTTAACTTACTGTGCCATTTCACCATCTGTAATGCAAGAGATGTTAATGTGGTGGTGTCAGCTGTGCCAAAAGGCAAGTCTATCATATTCATCCTGCCATGGTCCTGAATATCACAGTCTATTTCTATCACAGAAATTCTTTGACTTGTAGTTTTAGAGGCACAATTAAGTGTGTTTCTCTACTTGCTAAGCAGAGGTTATAGAATTGATACAGAAGCTGTTGGGTTGGATGTTTTAAATCATCTTATGTGAGAAACCAGGGAGAAAAAAGAGAACTTGGAGGTAATTAAAAAACCCAACAACTCCAAACCTGATAACAAGCCCTTAGTACCACCTCTGCTGTCCTCAAGCACGGAGGGCACACTGGGGAGCAGCAACTGATCTCTCATGGATGGGAAGTGCATTCCCTCTCCTCTTCCTCCACTGCTGTAAAAGCAGTGCTCCTATTATGTCAAGGTCCATTGCATTTACTGCAACTTTGATATGCTTGACCTAAAAGTATTGCTGTGAGTGAATTATTTACAATGACAATGAGGAGCAATTTTCTAGACTGTTCCTACGGCCTCTGGGCATTGTACTGAGTACATATGTATGTTATTAACAAAACCCATGAAAATTACCATGAAACCTTTCCACAGTATATCACAGTTTTCATTGCCAAATTGGGATTGTTCTGTGGCTTTACAGCATAAGGAAACACATGTGCAAGCCAACATTTCTTGTGGGGTGTGGAATAATGGTGTTGTTTTCCAATGAATATTATTAAATAACTAGTCTGTAGAGGTTGATTTCAAGTTGTATGAAGTACTACATATCTGTGCACTAGGAGACATTTTTCTATTTCTATATGAAAACACGGTGTAACTAAAATCTGATAAATTCCCATGCTAGGCAACATTAAAAAGACAACTGCTACGTATTCTCCTCTTCAGAAACCAGTAAAAACTTGCAGTCCAGGTGGGAATATTTGTTTTATATTTGTAATGAGACTGGACTATCTGTGCCTAGGTCAGTGCTGGCTGCACCCTGACTTAGCAGGGTCTGAATAGCTCTTCTTCCATTAGTAAGTGTATGGAACAAAATGATGATTGAAATCAGAAGAGATGTGTATTTTGAGGAAAAGTACTGCCTTAAAAAAGGATGTAATTTTATCTTTTTCTTGCAGTGTAGTCTGTCCCTCCTCAATGCTAATCATTCAGGCATTATCTGTGAAAACATATATAGAAACCACTCATGTTCCAGGACATTAGTTCTTCCCAGTGTTGAGAAATTCCAGATTCTTCTGCTTTGATAAGTATTTTCTCTGTTAAAGACACATAACACATCTATAACTAGCATTAATACGTATTTTGCAAAATTAAGAGCTGCTTTTTATGTTTCAGTAAACTACTTTGTTTTGTCCCAAAAACATACTAGCTACAACTTAATTTGAAATTTTATCCTTCTAGACAGAACATATTTCTCTGAGTCTTGCTTTTAATATGATCTTTATCTCCCTGCAATATGTAACTCTGTAGTAATTCAAATTCCCATTTTTGTAGAAATGGGTAAACATAAAGATACAGGCTTATCTCTGAACAGAGTTGCTGAGAAATCATTTATCCATAGTAACTTTGCCTTTAATACTTTACTCTTCTGTCTCTGACTATTGTAGTATTCAGTGAGCAACAGAGAATGCGGGTTCTTCTCCAGTGAATATTGGAATGAAAAAAGATAATCTTCCCAAACATTAATTTTAAACAATGTCCAAATAATTTCAGGATTTATTTTGCTAGTGTGATTGTTTTCTGAGCAACTGGGGGAGGAGTCTATAAATATTAGTTTCACATGTGACAGAGGACTGATCTCTTTCATGATTGAAATGCTGAAATGCATTTCTACCATTGAATTAGACTGGTAACAGTTCAAGAAGTGACTATAGATGTGTTTTCCCATGATAGCCTTGACACGTCTCTGCTGTTCAGTTCCTACACAGTGAAACATGGATAAACCAAGCAAGCTCAGTACACAACATAACTTGTGTGACTAATGTGCTGAGGAAACTTTGTAAATAATCAGACTAAAGTACTCTTAATAAACATTCCCATAATGAGAAGAATGATATACGTGATATGATGATATGCTGTGAGTTTTCCTGATTTTGTAAGCAATTCCTGCTGCAGAGTATTTGAGTTGCACTGAGTCTAAGGGCTGAGCTTACCTTGGATGATTCTGTGAAGTGAGAAATGTAGACTGGTCCTTTTGTGCGTCTGACCAAGTTAATAAAGGGTTACAAAGAACTAAGGACACAATTGTGAGCTTATTTACACTTTATTTTCTTATCACAAAACTCAAAACGTGACATAGGTACTCAGTTTACAGTAACTTTAAAATTTAACTGCTTTTCCATTATTATTTCTGGATATACATTTTTTTGTCACCTTTCAGATCCCTAAGAATAGCAAATGCAATAGTATTTGTATTCTTAAAATCAGTTTAATGTAAAATTAATTTTTTTGATATAACATTTTTATCCATAACTCTTAAATCCCATATGTTCCCGATTGCATTTGTCATGACAAGTATAGAAACTTTTGAACTCTTCAACAATGTCTAGTTAAATGGCAATTAAATATTCTTTCCTCTTCAGTCAGAGTCCTTAGGAGTGGATATACAGAGCTTCCTGTCCTGTTATTTTTTCTGCATACATAGTAAATAAGAATTCTCACATTTTCAATGTTACTGAACCCCTGTGAGGACGATGCTCCAGAAAAAGGCAGCAGGTATTTTCCTAGTTGGCTAAACCAACACTCAAAGCCAAGCAAGCAAAAAGTGGATAACGCCAACTATTTTTTCTGACCAGAAAACTGTAGCTTATAAGAAGTGTTTGTTTCTCACTATCACCTTCAGAGCTGCTGCTCCTCTCAATGGAAACCGTACAATGTGGGGCCACAGTTGCATTCATTGTTCAGTGAGCTTGTCCACATAGTTAAACCCACCGACAGCAATGAATGTTCATTGTGACCTTTTTGTAAAGCTTGGCAGGGTGAGGGAGAAACATCATATGATGGTTAGGTTGCTATCTTCGGTGTTAAGGCCTGAAAGCATGAAGTAAGGAGGAGGATGGTTAGCTGGAGGGTACAATCAACGGTCGATGGTTTTCACTTTAATTCCAAACTCACCGACAGCGTTGAATGTTCACTGAAGCAACCACTACAACAGAACTCCATTGACTTGGCTGCATCCTCAAATGTCTGAAAGTAGTGGGGGGGAAATCAAAGTTCACACAATGATTTTCATTATACAGATGATGCAACTTCAATCATTTTTCTCTTACCGACACCAACACCCTTCTCTGCGGATCATGTTTCAGTCTTTCTGCAAGGAGCTGGCAGTTTCACAGACTTTCTTTCTATGAAAAGAAAATATGTTCCTGTTACTCAGGCTTTAAGAATAAAGGTTAGAGATTCAGGCATGAGTGGATTAATATTGTCTGTTATTTCACAAGACTGAACTTCACACTAAAACAAAACGTGAGATCCCATAAACGAACAGAGCTGGCTAAGAGTTTTACAAATTAGTGTTGCCAAATAGAGATTGCTCAGCTGAGCGAAATTTCTTCTATTGACATGACTCAGTTGGATTAAAACTTGTTTAGGATTGATGAAAAATAAATTTTCTTTAAAGAAGGCTTAATTTTTAAAAAGAACATCTGAGACAGAAGGCCTTTTTTTTTTTTCATTATTAGTTTTCACACATGCAGAACTTGTTCTGATAGTTTTCAGGAGGAAAAAAGGTGATTGTATTTCAAGGCTTGACCTATATTTATTTTTTTTGTGTCAGCATGTTGTGCACATCCAGCTGATCATCACACAGTAAAGTCCTTATTCTTAAAGATTTTCACAGCTAACACAGCAATTTTTCCTAATCTTCTGAGCTTTCCAACTCAATTGTCCTAATTATTAATAACAATAAATAATACTTAAAAATTAAGTTGTAGGTTTTTGTTGCAGAACAGTTTTAGAGGCTGGATAAGAAGGCAAAACATGGTAATCCAGAAATTTTACCTTATTTTAATTTGTGAGCAGAGTTCTTATGCAGGTGTTCTTGAAGCTCAGCTTGTCAGAGTTCTTTTCTGCTAGGTCCACTCTTAAGTCTGCTGAAATTACATTACTAATTCATTGACTTACATGAATTGCTGTTTCTTTGTTTATCTTATCCTTTGGTTAAAGATACCCTCTCTCTCTCTTGCATCCATTGTTATTTATAGGGCTTTATAAATTTGGGTTTGGGTTTTTGTCTGTACTTGTGTTAAGGAAAACCACACTAAAGGACTGGAGTTCATCAATGTGCTGCCTGAGCCTATTTTGTGAACAACCACTATGACAAGGACTTTGTCCTGTTTCTTTCAACTAGTTACTCTGCATGTAGAGGTATTTATTGCATCATTTAATTCAACTGTATTTTCCATCTAATACAACTAAAATAAAAAGTCATTAATATAGCCTACTGGAGAATTAGACAAGAATGCAATCAACTGTTATAGTGGATTAGATGTGTTTTGTTTGTGAAGGCCGCTTTGATAATGAATATAGCTAAATCAAATACATTTTAATTAAACGTGGCAGCCCACCTTTCTTTCCCAATATAGCAGCACATTATACTTTACCTGTGATTATTTTTATTTCTCCATTTATTTGTACTGAAATTTCCAAGGTTTGATTCCATGGATGTTAGGACAAGACCTCTACATACTGGCATGAGAGAATAAGGCTCTCTAACTCAGTCTTATGTGCATGTGCATCTGTTCAACATTGTTCTAGCCAAATAACTTTATGGTTTAAGGATGCTCATGCTTAAGATCTGCCCTATTTTTCTTGTTTTCTGTAGACCATTTCTTTTAGTAGTCATTCCTATGCCCTTATTCCCTGCTTCCATCTGTCACTTCATATTTCAGTATGGGGGCTTGCCTGGCTGATATCTGGCAATTGGAATGGGGTGCAGGGGAAGGAGAGGAGCTGTGTAGAGCTTGTGACTGGGTGGATTACATCTTTGAAGGAATTACTTTCACAGGTTGTTATTAATGCCTCCCCACCCCCCATCATGGAAAACCTCAGTACTTCCTTGGTCACCTAGGCTGTGAAATGGGCTGAAACCTCTAAGTACAAAAGGTATTTCTGGGTTCTAGCCCTGATTCCTGATATGTGCAATTTATGCAGGGTAAATATGCTTTCATCTTCTTTCATATGGTTTTCATTTTTTAAAAATCCTTTACTGGGCTTAGCTAGCTGTTACAAATGCTAGCTTTATTTTAAATTTTATTTCAGATCTGCAGGCTTATGTGAACATTCAGATTGGATGTAATTTTTTTTAATGTAAGGTTAGTAGGTCATAAATAAACCAAAGCACTTTCCTTGCTTTGAGCAATAGGGTCATGATGCACATGAAATATTGCTTTAAAAAAACTGCAACCTAACATGAATTGACAGAGGTACATGAGGAAGTAGTTCATCGTGTCGCTGCAAAGGCCATAGGGATTTGGACTGCTAGAGCTGCCTGTCTTAGGAATAGATTAGATATCTTGCCTGATGACCTGTACTTAATTTAAGTGACTGCCTTTGCAAGTCCTTCCAGAGGGCAACTGTGTGAAGTAGAGCATCTCATCTTCAGTCTTCAGTCCTTTTCCTCCTCTTGATGGCCTGACCTAAATTGAAGATATGGTTGTTGTGCTTGCACAAATAGACAATTATTTCAATACTATGTGAACAGCATCTTCAGGTCTAATTAATTACCTTTTCCATTTTGACCTTGCTATGTTGAATAAAAAGACCAACATTCCAACTCCATTGCAGTGGTTAGTACTGGGAAGCTGTTATACAATGCACTCATGTTAATGACTGCCTTATGTAAAACAGGCAAAAGCTCCTTCTCCCTGCTTGGAAATGGTGGAGCTGTCAAGTACTACTCTGCCCTGCTTATTGCCCCACCTTTTCCTTTCTTCCTCCTCTCTCGCCCACACAAATGCTCGGTGAGATATGAAAGATGTCAGCCAGATCAAAGTCTGGCTTGCAGGCCACTTCAAACAGCTGCCTTAGAGCTGTTACCAATCTTCCTGCTGGTACAGCAGGGAGATTGCTTAGGTACAAATACATAGGTGAATACCCAGAACTCAGCCTTGGGGCTCTTGTAGCTGTAGGTGCTTTTTCTAATGGTGCATTAAAACCGTCTATCCAGAATGTGTACTGGTTAAAATACTATGTTAGCAAAATTATGAGGTAGATAGTTCACGTGGTTTACAGCATCATTTTTCTTTCGCTGACATGGAATTGTTTGTTAGTGGAAGGTGGAGTTAAAACTTTCTGAAGCCAAATATTCGTTTGTATAAAAGGAAGACAACGGAACAGTGTTTGTACTGATACTGCATAGTTATCTCATGGATGCAGTTGTTGGCTACTTCCACCTCCCACTTGCCCTCTCCCACAGTCTGTCAACAAACTTCCAGTTAAACACTTAGGGACAGGAAGAAATGCAATGTGTGGATGTATTTTATTTTTTTAATTGTCTTGCAAAAGTGAATTCCAGTGGCAGTGTCTAAAAATGGCAGTAGCACACTTGGGATCAGATTCTCAGCTAGAGTAAACTGACACAGCTCCATTGACAGTGGCATCTGCATTTATACCAGCTGACACCTGGATGCTCATCTGGAAAGAAGTGAATTAGAATGATCAGTTATTGGTTCTTATATTTTCAATTTTTTGTGTTGTGTTCAACTTTTTTATTAAACCTTTCTAAAATGACACATTTTCATGTTGTATTGACATTTTACTTTCAATAAATCAGCACTAATACTAAATCTCAGTAAGTATTGACACTGCTGTGCTTCCACTGAAAGGAATTAAATCCAGTTGACTGTAGTTATTAGAAATTCAATTTGTTCTTAGATGACTTTGAGTTATATGCTGAAAGTAAAAAAAAATCTGTGCAGCTATCAAGAGGCCAAAATGAAAAGTATTTTTCTTTTGTGATCTTAAAAACTGCAAGAACAAAATCAAATAACAATCACTGTAATCTAAGATGCTCACTGTGTTCTACAGACACTAACTGCAGTTTTTTCTGCAGTGTGTTGGAGTGTAGCATCAGCTCTAATTACTGATGCAGTCAATCTAAGGCTAATGTTTTTCAAGAAATCCAGCCACACACCCAATCACCATGTTTTGATGTTGCCTGAGACCTATGGAAACATCTCTGTTAACCTCTGCTGGAAAAAAGAGTTTGAGGGAGTATTTCACCACTTACTGGAATACAGCCATCTCTGGGGAAGAGTAGCAGCTGCAAAACATCTTGAAGCACTAGTGCATGCCAGCCTGAGACAGGAGCAAAAAATTGCGATTGCTGTGTTTAAATTCTGCATTCTACAGGGCTTCTTTTTTGTACATTCCTGGTTCTTGCTCATAGAATTAGAGGGTGGAAAAACAGAAAACACTTTGAGGTGAAATATTGTTCATAGAACTGGTTTTTAAACTAAATCAAAACTTGCTTGACACGCATAGCAGTCACAGAATGATCTGAAGTTCACTCAGTCTTGTCAGAGTACTGATGGCACAGAAACTGTGACATCTCCAAATATGCTGCTTTTTGTGTTTGTAGGCTTTGACTAAGTTTTTAAGTTTGCTGTCCAAAAATTGACTGTGCTCTTGAAGTGAAACCCATCAGCTAATATTACATGTTTACAACACAGGCTATGAGGTGGGATACTGATTAGCCATGCTAATTTAGGAACAGAACAAATGTGAGGAGCAGCAGTGATATTAGTTCAATCAAATGTTTGATTGCGCTTCCAGAAATAATTTAATTGCAGAACTCAAAACTATGCTTTGCCCATTAGAATTTTACCTGATTAGTAATTTTTAAATCTTCATAATAAAAAAACTTCCAGGCCCATATTTAATGTGAAAATACACACAGTAATATTAGCTTTTTGCTTACTGTTTAGGTTTATTGCGTCTCAATCAATATTTATTGTTACTCTTATTTAACAAATCATAGTTACACTCATGTTCTAAATGGACTTTTATATCTGCCCATTTGAGTCCAACTGCAATTTATTACTTCATGTTGTTAGTCCTGTTTGGTGTTGTAAGCACTATTCCAGCAAATGGGATTCAGGTCCTGACTCTGAGATTTGCTTTTTATTTAAAGCCAAGAAATGGTAAATAAATTGTAATACTGCCTGTAACTTCCCAGTCTTATGGATCACAATTCTCCACTCTTTGTTACTGGAACACATTGCTATTTATGGAAGATATGCACATATTTCAGTGTCCATATATCATATGCAAACATCTGTTCTTTAGATCAGTAGATGGTGTATGGTAACTGGTTCTTACATTAATAGCCATGAAGTAATGCTCATCTATTGATGTTAAACTTTAATGTTTTTGCAAATATTTCAGTAATTTAACTTTTCAGGCAATATTAATCCAAATAGTAGAAATTGCAAGCATAGTCTGGCATAGAGTTAGCTCTGTATAGCCTGTACCTGAAAAATGTCAAGTGAAAGTTGTAAGATAGAGGGTAAAATATTCAGAGCAACAGGATCAACCTGTCTAAACCACAAAAGGTTCTGTTAGTAATTCTCTCTGCACTCACTGCTGCCTTTGAAGAGAACTTCTTTCCCTCTCCCTTCCTGTGACAGCTTTAAACAGGCATCCCTTTCTTATTTGATGAATCTGGCCTGTGTGTAGTGGTCTACATTGTTGTCTTAGTAGTATGATCTATTTCCCACATTATTCTGCAGGCAAGGTTCTAAGGCCAATAACTGTGAAGCTGTGCTCCGAAAACATATGGTGTGTGAGGAAACCAGGGCTGTGTATGAGGCAAAATGTAAGAGGTGGGAAAGACAATATTGTAGGATAGGATGGGCACAGGATGGAAAGGCAGAGGGTAAGAGTTTTCTTATTCTGTTTTCAATCTCAGTGTTAGGATTTTTGGATAAAGTGATTTCAGTTGTAAAGAGAAGAATCTGCAGCATCTCTCCTGTTTAGCATTTATGTCAAGCCTTTATTTGGTTGTCATATATGCTGTGGATACATTTGTTGTTTTTCAACATCTCCTTTGTGTTTGTATTCTTTTTCAGGAATAGAGACTTTATACTTTGAGACTAGCATGAGACTAAATGTCAGCATAGTTGAATTTTCATAGGAAGAACGTATGTATAAAAATGGAAAGCAAAAACATTCTCTATTTTTAAAGTTGAGTCCTACTGTAGTCAGCCATAAGGCATGAGACTGTAGTTCTTTCTCTGCAGTAAATGGACTTGCTTTTAAGTTGCCTACTAATCTTTTTGGTATAAAAACTCCCAAGCTGCTTGAGAATGAATTCAGAACGCCCTTTAAGGATTTCTGGAGTATTTCAGTACCATTTGCATGTTGTCTTTTATGTTCTTCACAGTGAATATGTGAAATAGATACATTCAGAAAAACATGCTTGTGGGCTTTCAAAACCTTTTGTTTAATTTCTGTTCCTGATTTTTAAAATAATTTTCTAGAATTTTCTGTAAAAGGTGCTGTGAGTGTAGATTTGCTTAAGAGGTCCTCTGTATGTCCATCTCACTGCCAGTGCAGAGTGCGATAGCAATTGGCTTTAATATCCCTTCCCCCTCTTTATTCTGTGTTGCCATAGGAATGGTCTGCAAGAATTACCAAATTCAAATAATTATGGTCCTGCTGCACGAAGTTTCTTTTGATCAAGAGCAAGTCATTTGAACCCTGATGTTTAGTGGGTAATACTTACAGCCTCATAAAAGTGTAGTGATGGCTGATATCTCATAGTGCTTTGAACATGTGAAGTGCTATATAAACAATATAGGGCTATTGCACACAGCTCAAGCTATTAGCATTTGAGGCACAGTGCCCCAGGCCCTTGGAGGGGAAGTCACGTCTTCACTGGAAAAGAGGCACCTTTCTGAGTTTTGTCTGCTTCCAGATTAGGTATCAGGAGCTCTCGAGGTAGCATAGGGATATGAAAGGCTTGTTTTTTCAAATATTGTGTCTACTATGCTGCACTAGATTCTTACAATTAGAACTGTGATTCTACAAATGTAAGGATGGTAAATCATTGCCTGGTTGCATTATTTCCTTTGCTGTAATTGTTTTTTGGCATTCTGTATTTTTTTCCTTAGAGATTTCTGTATGCAGATCTATTTGTTACTAACATCCTTGGTATTCTTCATGTGTAATTTGAAACAGATGTGAAATTATGCTTCATCTTTGTTCCCAAAAATATCAATTTACTTTACAGAATTTAGACCACAAATGCAATTTGAAAATGTGTAGAACACTCATGAGTGTCTGTGCTTACATCTTGTTTTTAAGGTAGCAATTCAAGTTAAGAAAATAGGCCAGGGGTATTTGCTACACAGCTGTTAGGGCCTGTTAGAGCTGAAGGTGCTGTTCAGATGGGAACAGTTTTCCTAGGATTGATGGAATTGCTTGATTTGCTTTGTTTTGACTCTTCTCCACATTTTGCACACTCTGATAAACAAGGGTTCTGCTTAGGACCCACAAGAGGCACCTATCCTTGCAATCACTACAACATGAAGTCTGGGGCAGTAGAAAGGCTCATGACTATCTTCAGGGAGAAGAGGAAATTCCTTGAAGTCTTTTTATGCCAGTCATTGCTCCAGTTTAAAAACAAAGCAATTCTTAGTCCAGAGTTGGCAAAACACACTTTTTGCTTTTTAATGGTGTAACTTCTTTTCGCCAGTAGAGACTATTCTAAAGGATTGCATTTTTCTGCTTGCTTGTTGTGTGGCTTTTTTCATGTCTCAGGCTAAGCTCTTAGACATGTTAAATGATGTAAACAAGTTTGGGATTTTTGTTACTGTTATCTAGAAGCAGCCATTCAAAACAAATATGCTATTGACTCAACTCTAAAAAGCTCTGAACACAGAATAAGCTCAGACTTTGAAGGACTGGGCACACAGTTTAAATATTTAGCATAGCAAAACCCATTGCAGTACAATTACTTGTACAGGATCCAATGATTTACAGCACAAATGCAAAGCATAATCCCATGTATTCAGGGACCAAGTGCCTAGTTAGTTTACTATTTTCTGGTGGCTCTTTTTTATCAAAACCTATACACACAAGCACAAAATACCTTTTATTGCTCTGGCAGAGGGTTTTTAAAGTAATATATATTCTTCTAAAGAAATAAATAGATACAAATTACCAGAACTGTTCTAAAGGCCTTATCTTTATTATTGAAAAACGGCATAGCCTTTAATGGTTTGTAATCTGCCTGTGTTTTTGTGGTTTTCTCAACATCCTCCTCCTTGTCCTTGTTGAGCTCAGCTACCCTTTGAAAAGCTTTTTGCTCCAGTGACCACTTTAAACTTTCTATTGACAAAATAAAGCTGGACTCCTAATTTATTTTTCCAGCAGAAGGTGTAAGTTGAAAGTGGTCATTGGCCCAAAAACCTATAGTGAAGGCAAAGTTGATTTTAGTGGGAAGGGGGAGTGATGTCTGGTTTCCTTTTCTCTGTCCTTCAATTCTCACCTCCCAGAGTCCCAAGTAAACTGGAGTTCCTACATCTTTCCCTGAAGTCTCCCCTTTTCATCCTCACCACAGCTAGGTTTCCCTTTTTTGCAGCCTTTTGCTGCAGCAAGGAAAGGTAGGCCAGGAAATTGTATTTGAGTCCTCAACACAAATTGGTTTTTGAATCCAAATTCTGTCTTTTAAAACTGTGGGAAGACTGACTGGGAGATTGCAATGAAGTAAATGAGTGAATGGGATGAGGGAAAGCATATACAGCCAGATAAATTGAAAATTAAACAATTCTCTTTGCTTCATGTGCACTTATGTGTAGCTTAAAAATACATGCAGGCACATATGCAGACAGCTTGATGTGAAAAAAGAAAGGGAGATTTCTCTTTGTTTTGGAGATTTAAACAGATCAGTACATCTGTAGCACCCAGAAGCCTCAAACATTATCAAAATGCATTTTTTAACCACAGAGTCTTGCTTTTCTGCAGTATCCAACACATTTAAGTACAAACTCTGAAATGAATTAATAGGCTTAGGAGTAAGTGGATGGCATTTTACGCAGTCAGGACTTTCTGTAAACATCCAAGAGATCCCCTATCACCATTGGGGTAACCACTCCTAATCACAAATCATAATGTGAACAGTCATATGTGGTACTGGCTATTCTGAGGAGTTTTGTTTCTGCATCAATACCTCCCTGGATTTATAAACCATTCTTGTGTCAGTACCTGCCTCTTTTTCTTGCTAAATATAATCAGAGAGCTTGAGGCTCACAGATTACATTTTCTGTGCTGTTCAAAGGTGTTCTATTTGTATTTTTATTTAGAAATATCTGGATGAAATTCTATTTGGAAAGAAGTTCCATCCCTTAAGCCCTATACTCTGAACACCTAAAGTAGAGACCTTGTGCTGGCTCTTAGCAGATAGGGTGAGTTTCATTCTTACTGAATATGACCCAGGTGCTAAAGAGCTATAGCTGAAAGTGCTGGGTTAAAAGCACAAGTCAGCTAGGTGCATAAATATTACATGGTTGTATCTTTAATGGGTTCCTGTCATAGACTTGCTTTTGTTTAAAGATTTCCATAACCCTGCTGATTTATTGCATCTTTTCTAGAAGTATGCTGTTAGCAGGAAACTCAGTTGAAGCACTTTCAATCATGTTGGAGGATCATTATACTTTCACTTGAATAACTAATTAGTTGCAAGAAATTAACCGCTGCTGTTTAGCACAAGAACACTTCCAAGAAGGGCTTTCATTTTTGTTGTGGAAAATGACCTCAGGCACTTGAGGAGGTGGGGCAGAAAGGAGAAATAATGATCCTGCTGTCTTTTAATATAGCTTTTGTTTTCAATTCCACCCAATAATAGCAGGCAGCATAGCTGTGTGAATAAGGCACTGCACTTGGACTTTAGATAACTGTGTTCTGATCTTTCTGATCCCATGGATCTGACAGCTGACCTCAACCTATTGATTGAGACTGGTTTAAGGTTCCAAAGGCTGCCACTGAAGGCTTGGGAGATGGAGTACAAGACTGAGGAAGAAATAAGTTAGTGAATAGGATAGAAGGAAAAATAGAATATGGGCAAAGAAAGATACAACCAGTCTCATTTTCTTTTTTGTGAAATGTAATTTTTTTTTCTCTTGACACAATGGTCCCTGTCTTGAGCTCAGTATTATTGTCACATGGTGTTCACAGCATTACTAATCTAATGTCAAACACAATGAGGTGAGGAAGGATAACAAACACCTCAAATACTTAGTGATTCACCGTACTTCTGAGATAAAAACTGAGAGGAATTTGAAGACAAATGATTTCCGAATGTAAAATTCTGAGATATACATTTCTGAATGTAAAATACTGAGATATGAGATCCTGGCATTTTTACATTTAATTTTACATTTCTGAATGTAAAATTCATCCAATAAGCCAATAAAATAGCAGCTCCAAGACACTTTTTTGTCTAGAACTGCAATTTTGCCTGTTATTGGAGAAATATAGATATATAAGATTGACCTTAATTTGTAAAATAAACACACAATAGAATCAATTATCTCCTTTCAGTCTTCTTTGTCTAGGAGGAGAATTCCTCAGATATTTCATAAAAATGAGAAGTATTGGTGAGTAAGGTCACGACAAGGGAGAAAGGGGGAGTTTATTGGTCTTTCTTCCTCTCTTCTTCCTTCTCTCTAAGCACACTTGCAAGATTAGAAAGTTGTCTTTGATATGTGTATCTGAGATGTGATATGAAAACACTAGGAATTATTCAGTGCCAAAAGGGAGTGGGCTGCTCATGACAAACTCCACCTGAATATAAAATATAAAGGTTCCTATAATGCTTTCAGCACTTTGACTGTCTCATGTCTTCTTTTCCTTCTTTTCCATCTTTAAGCAGCTATTTTGGGTACTTTAATGTCAGGATTAGAATCTCATTCAGCCCTTTATGATTATATTATGATTACCTGCATAATGTGTCTTCTGAAAATATTTACATAAATGCAGGACTTTGTGGTGGTTTGACTTTTTTTTTTTTGGGGGGGGGGGCTAAATTTGCAAACTTTTGGTACATGAGACTGCAGGAGACAGAGGCTTGCATATGTGTATATCAGGAAATCTAACTTTTTGCTTTCTAGAGAATTCTCTAACAGGCTTTTTAAAACAATACATCACCCTGAAATTGCATGCAGAGAAATTCAAAAGGACCAAGGGATTAAAAAAATTCTCCATCCTTGACACTCAGGGGAATTGCTACTGAAAACCCCAGTGCTTTTCTTTTGTGCATCTCTGAAGATTGAAATCTGAGTGTAAGACTATTGCAGAAATCTGTTAATTTCCCTGCAGTTTGTGTCTCCGGTGAACACCATGCAATAGCTCAAGATACTTTTATTCTAGATGTGGTGAGAGTGTGATGCTGACACCAAAGCCGTGGGTTCAATCCCCTATGGGCTGTTCACCCAAGTGGGACTTGATGATCCTTGTGGGTTCCTTCCAACCCAGAATATTCTGAGATGTAAAAACTCATTCTTTGTAGTATTCACAGTTGAATAACATAGAACTCAATATAAATCCATTAAGAGACATCCAAGTCTGATGTTAATGACATGTCTCAATTTCCCTTTCCCCTCTATGAACATTTGCTCTCATTATCTCACTTTGCTTGCTCTTTTATTTTGATCTGTAACTGTTCAGTGAGTATTAAGTGTCTTCAAATAACGGGTGCTGACTTTGAGGGTGGTTTCAAATTTTGGTGTAGACTTCTGCCTGTGGTTCAGATTGGGTGAATTTGGGTTCTTTGATCTAAATCTTGAAATTCCTTCCCATTTGGATACTCTTATTCATGCCACACCAAATACTGACTTGTTAATCTTCAGTCGTCACATGTCCCTATGTCATGAAAAATACTTGGTCCTTCTTAGTCTTGTATAACCAAAAGTATTGGAAAATGTGGAGTCTAAAAAACCTGCATATCTAGAGAGGAGATAACGTAAGACTCTTCTTTAAATAAAAAGCATTTGAAATACATTAAAATACATAGGCAGCTATGCCTCCCTTGCATTTACACTTCAGTTATTTGATCATAGCACAAAACCAGAGCTGATCATGAATGAATTGACAGCAGACATGCCTTAGACCTCTTTTCTGAGAAACTGCCTCAACAGAATATGTTATGACCCTGAGAGAGAGAAATATTACTTTAAGTGGATTATAGGAAAAAGCATGTAACTATGTTCCATTTTTTCCATCTAGGAGACTCCTATGTATTACTTGTGTATAAATGTAGCTAATTTTCTATTTTCAGTAGCTGTGGTCACATGTGGTTGAAAAGACAAAGTGAGAAAGTGAGTTGGGCTTGTAACGCATTTGAGAATCCCTGCTTTTATTGGGCCTCTGCCGAGTAAACCAAATGTGTAGGGATTAGCTTCTAAAGCACATTGCAGGTGATTTCAGGCAAATGGAAAGAAAGCTACAGTGTGGGAATTGGAGAAAAGTTCTACATTGTAGAGACTGTACTTGCTGGTCTGGTATAGTCTAGAAAGATTTTTTTTTTTCCTTTTTCCTCCTTCTCTGCTATTTCCTCATCTACTGAGGATATAAACCAACCTTATTTGTCTTCCTTTCTGGTTTACCAATGTGTGAGTCTGTAAACATGTCCTCATGCTGACAAGTAAATGTTTTTCTGCAAAATTTTACAGAGCAAAGCATCCAAAGGCTGTATATCTCATCAGTTAATGAATTTTGACGTTCAGCACAAAACAAGTCTGTTTTTCTCAAATGGTCAACAGTTCTCCATGCAGAGCTGGTGGTGGGGAATTGAAGATTTTGGTGTTCAAAACCCCTTAAGTGCAGTGAATGAATATAAATCCACTGTCTTACAGTTACAAATAATAATTGGAATTTTGATGTTCCTGAGTGGAATTAGGAATAGTTCCACTGGTCAAAATAAATGTGTTCTTTTCAGATTATCCCATATCTCATGAAAATGAACAATTAATAGTCTTGCTTGCATTATGGCTTCTTTTTGTCTAATACTTTCATATATATTACAGATATTTGGCAGAGTTGCATAGTGAGAAGCTGAATGATGAACAGAGTCTGTATTCTCTTGGCTTTGGTATTCTGCCCAGGGTTTTTACTGCACAATTTTTATTTGAAGAAAAAAAATTAAGTCTTAAGCATCAAAACTACTTTATTTCTTATTCTTTCTTGTGCTGTCTTGAGCCTTTGTATAGCACTAGTATCAATTATTCAATCAGTGTCTTTGAAAAGCACCTACCAGGCTGCCAGATTCCTGTTGCAGAGAAGCTAGATGGTGCCAGAAATCAGTCACTCTGCTAAATATTGCTGCTGGCTCCACTCCCCGTCTCTCAGAGCCGGTAGAAGTCTAATTTTCTGTTCTTCTGTGAAAAGATGGCAGGATGTAAAAATGCCATGTGAAGCTGCTGTTATGTAACAAATGTTTTGCCATCCTGCATGGTTAAGGATTTAAACTGGTCTCTGGTCTCAAAGTGTGGGTATCTTCTGTTACATGGAATGCTTTTATGTTCAGCTGATGTGGTATTTGTCATTTAGTTCTTCACTTGCCAGACCTTTAGCTCTGTGAATTTAGAAATTCCTCTGTTTTAAAGAACTGGTTTACTAGCAGTCAAGTCAAAGGCAGATATTGCACTGCCTTGCACATGCACAGAACACCACCCAGCAGAGTTCCTATAAAGCAGTTCAGCTACCCCCAGCATTCACCACCCAGATGATGCTTGTGCACAGTTGCCATGCTGAAAATTAAAATTGTTTAATATTAAAATTAAACTCGGAAAAAGTAATGTTGATGGTAGATGTGCAAAAAAATTTGTTCATAATTGTGAATGTATCTTCACAGCATTTCCAGTCTTTATAGAATCCAGAGACCTTTCTAAAAATGCTAAGAGCCATTTGTCTGTATAAGAAGAAATAGAATTAATTTTTGAATCACACTTAAGATATGCAGATAGTTTTTAGTAAGCATTTAAAACAATTATTACAAAATTAGCCTACTGTAAGACTGATCAATCTGCTGTATTTCTGTTACATGTGTTCCACAGCTGGGTTAAGGTGCTTAATTAGCACACACCCAAATAAAAATCTGAATGGTTAAAGCAGCTCATTCAGTGCTTGTCTCACCGTGGAGGAGTCCAAAGCCACTTGCCACAACATATCTGCCAGATAACTTCTCTGTTGCTTGGGCCAGGCTGGAGCTGAGCCCTCCTCTGCAGAAGTGCCCCGCTGGCCTCACTTCTGCGTGTCTTGCACAGCAGGCTGACAGTGTGTGCAGTTCCCTTTCCCTCTGCTTTCTGCTCCTCTGAGCAGGCATCAGAGCAAATCCTAAACATGATGGGAAATGGTGTCTCAATTACCAGGGGTATTCTCTATTGCCAAATCAATGTTTAAATTGCCCTTTTTGCTTCTTGAGGAAACATTTGGGAGCATCCCTCAATCACAATATCTTGTAGCTGGGGGTGGGTTTAGGTTTGAAATCCAAGTCTGTGCCCTGGGTGGCTATGTGGTTTCTTCAGAGAGAGGCTGTACAAGTGCCTGCTTCTTTGTCAGTGGGCAGAAAAGTGTTTTCAGAGCCAAATTCCAGGAGAGTGTTTCTGGTCATATTGTTATAAGGCCAGCAGAAGTTTAAAGGCTGCAGTTCTAGGCCTGTGACTCTCATTATTACCCTAAATTGTTTAGGAAGACTATCTTCAACCTGCTGGCTTCTGAGAGTATTTTTATGTGTGCAGCTCTTTAGGCAGCTCTATGTATTGCCTAGATATAAATCTCTATGGACATTTTGGGTATCAGGGCTTGGAATATAACTGCAGTGTTCATCTGATCTGGAAGTTCAGACCTTTGGTTGCTCTAACCTATTTCCAGGACTATTCCCCTTTGCCTTCTAATTAGGAAATGGCCGTAATGATTGTGGGTTGACTCCTCCTGTCCTTAACTAGGAAGCTAATGTATTCTTTGCTGGGTGTTGTGCTTTCCTCATCGGTCTGAGTTGAGATTGCTCCTTCTGCTGAGTGACAGCTCCTGGGTGGTGTGCCACTGTACAACCAAGAAATCTGCATGCAGGATGTGTTTTCTCCAGCTCCATAGTTTTCTAGGAAGAGGTTTAGCAGGTAAACCAGAGCTCCAAAGTCTGTTTCCATTACCAAAAAGCTTAGATTCAACTTCTAATTCTGGAAATATAAAGGCATGAGCCCAGTATTTATGCATATGACTTTGATAGCTAAAAATGTTACCATATGAATTTGAGGGTCTGAAAAAGATTTTTAGAATGCAAATTAACTTTTTGGTACATCTTACACTGAAAGTTAAACCTGAGAATATAAAAGAAAATAGTAGTTATATGTAGCAAACTGTAGGGTTTATTAATCTGTCAACAAGACAGACAAAAACAGAAGGCTTTTTGTACCTTACAAGTTCTTTTTTGGAGATAAGATGGAAAGCAGCTCTGAGAGAAATTTCTTGCTTAAAGATTATTAATATGGAGAATTACTAGTGGGAACAACCTTTAAGGCAGTTTTTCTCCTTTGATAACCTTTATTTTCCATGCTATAATTTACCTTCAGTGTAAGTGAGTTTTAACCTTTCCTATCCGCAAAGCTGAACCTTAAAAAGTGCAGTTTTCTTCTACTCTGTGTATACCAACTCAAATTGGCCTAATAAAGGAGTACTTTCCTTTTCAGGTGGGGATTTCCTAAGATATTTTCCTTTTAAATTGACTTTGAAAGAAGTGAACTGAGTTTTGAGCTTCTTTATTTATATTTGACTGCTTCATTACTGAAACTTTATGCTGATTTTTGTTTATTGTCCAGAAGATCAGGTAATTGAAATTAATTTAGTTACTCTTCTCTAGATGCCTTTTGGGCATACTTGGGAAAACTACTTGTACAAATGTGCTGTAGTATGAATCTCACTGACTTTCATTTGATTTTTCATTTGTTACTTTGAGACAAGGAGAGAACAAAGGTTGCTTATGTAAAATGAGAGCACAGAAACATGGCAAACATGCCTATTCTTGTGAGAGGTGTGGTATGTAATAGCTTATGATGAGGTGCATTTGAGGAGTCATTATGACTAAAAAGTTGCTGCCTATTACACATGTCTGGTAGAACTACTACTTCTACTGCTTCTGATTGTATTTCTCCCCTTTACTTTCCTGCTTCTCCCACTGCACTGCCATTCTGCATTTTCCCTTCATGAGGGAGGGAGTTTGTAGGGGAAAACTAGCTGGCAACAGAAGCATGCTTCCAGCTGGACTCTAAAGATAAAACTCAAAAATATGTTGCAGAAATGCACTGGAAAAAGGGAAATAATAGCCTTGGGAGCTCTCTCTGTTGTGAACTGTGGCAGCTGGGCAGTTGCATTGCACGGGGTCTGTGGCTTAGCTGGTAATTATAAACTGAAGATAATTCAGTGCACTATTTATATAATTTCTTGTTAAAATTTTCATGGATGTTCACTTGTGATTCTTTCTAGGTTTGGCATTTTCATTGTACTGGATTTACATAGATTCCTACTTTTCTTATGGTTGGGAAAATTATAATCAGAAACCTTTTCCTATATTAGGTACTTTTTCAGGACCAGAATGCAGGCATAGATGTTTCTGTGGATTTGGAAAGTCTTTTTTCTTTTGGAGTTGGTTTTGGTTTCTTTGCTCTTCAAGTATTCTCACCATATTTCTTCATCTCAGACTTAGGCACTTAATAATGAAAACTGATAATGTTTCATCTGCCAGGTACATAATTAAAAATGTTTGTCCAAACCTGCAGTTTAAAAAGAGCAGTCTGGATGAACTCGGCAAAACAGATCTCAGATTATGCGAATTCATGTTCACTCCAGAGGTTATCTAATAATCTGATTAAAGAAGTAATTATTGAACTGATAAGGAAACTCCTTCTACTGTGGTAGCTTAAATTTTACTCAAATTTATTTGATTTTAATATCATTAAATCTATAACAGTATTTAAAAACCGTAGATATGGTAGGCCTGCTTCAAGCTTCTCTACAACCCTATGCATTTGAGTGATGGTGAGCAGGGAAAAGTGTGGACAGAGGAATAGTTTCTACCTCCTTGTGTCCCCTTCAGTCCTATCACATGTCCCTGAATATAGGTGATTGCTACTTGACGGTGCAAGGAAATGATTAAACACATGCAGCTGGACTTTTGTCTGTAGAAATGAAGTATTGCAGACAGCCAGTCTATCATTGTATGTAAGTTAGAATTGGAAGATGTAGTTGAAAGAGTTTATCTGGAGAAACCAGGGAAATGGCTGAAAAACTTGTAACTCATGAATACACAGAAATATTTTATCAGGAAATTCAAAATTTGGTCACCAAAAACATGACTGAGTGTAAATAGGTCTGAATAAAAGAGGGTCTTTGAGACACAATATAATACATTTCTCTGATGGTCAAGAGTGGAAAAGGATTTTACAGTGTCAAATATTTCTGTTTGCTGGAGTTCACAGACGAAATACTTTTTAGAGGAAAACCAAAATATTTTTGTACTGATTTTTGTAAAGGCTTATTTCTATCACCACTCCACCAATATCTGCTAGAAAATATACCGACATAAACATTTAATTTTGTTTTATACAAGTATGGCAGAATGCAAGTATTGGAAAAGTAGTACACCCATTTCTTTGTGATGCAGCCTATATTGAATAATAAAATGGTGTTTTCCTTCTGTTTAAAAGGAAAAATTTATGAAAACATATAACAAGATGTAAAATGGAATGCATTCAATCATTAATATCCCTGAAAATCTTGGAAATATGTAGTCTAACATGGGACGTGTGATTTGTAAGAGGGAATGCAGGAAGTACTGATCATTCTCACTGGTTTGTGTTCAGATTCAGTCCCCTTGCTATTCTGTCAGTGAATTCCCTGTTGCCTCATTAATAGAGCATACCAGTAAGTTAAAAAATGGACCTGATATCCTAGTTTGGAGCACAGGGTAGAGTAAAAAGCATTCAACTTTTTCTCAAGTAAGTTCTTTCATTCTATACCTGAAACACAAGTTACAGCCAGCTAATTTTGAGTATGAATGAAATGTTTTTCAGGCAATACCCCATCATTTCAAGAACATGTTTGAAGAGAATATCTGGTATTTTAACCCTTATTTAAAGGTCAGAGATCAAGTTTACTGAATCAACTAAAGGAGAACTCTGCGTAGAAGATCTCAAATTTTTGAGAATTCAAACTGAGTATCTTTTAACAGATTATTTTGGGGGGATTGTCACATTCACTTGTAACCAGTGAGTTGTTCCAGGGCTAGCTCTGGGCTAAACAATATGTCTTCAAGGTAGGTTTTGAAAAGGGCCTGATGTTACTTTACTTCCCTCTTAGTGAAGTTAAATGGAAGTTTCTGTACTGAGTTTAGGAAAGGATGATTACTTCTGTGCAAGGAGGATTTTCTGGTTTTATTGACAGAACAAATCATCAGTACTTGGAATGAATCTAGTCCAGGCTGACTCCACCAACTCCTTATAAGAGCCTTTGAGGTAGTTGTAGTGAATGACATGAATTGGTAAGAAATTAAATATTTGTGAGGCATTGATAAATATGGTC